TTTTTTTTTTTTTTTTTGTACCAAGGATGGAACTCAGGACCTTGCCCTTGCCAGGCAAGCACTTGTGCCACAGAGCTATACCCCTGCCCCCTAGGTGGTTATTTTATTTTTGATTTTTTAAAAAATATATATTTGGTAGAGTCTACAGGGTCTCACTACACAGATCCGACTCATAGTGATCCTCCTGTTTTCAGCCTCCTAAGAACTGGGATTACAGGTGCGCCACCACGCCCCGTCTCGGTCCTTATGTCAGTGCGCCCCAGGGGTGGGCTTGGCACTGCCTGCTGGGGATCCAGCCTGGTCCCTATGTCTGCCTAAGCAGGTGCTTTAGTCCACTGAGCTATCTGGACCCACCTTTTATTTAAAAAGAATTTTTAAAAAAACTCTCTAATTTATTTATTTGGTACAGGGTCTCACTTGCCCGTGTTTCCAGGGCCAGCACGGCATGCAGTACTGGGGATCGAACCTGGGTCCTTGCACCTGCCAGGCAGTGTGTAGATCGCTGAGCTATCTCTAGCCCTAGGTTATTATTTTAAAAGGAGACCCTGATGCTCAGGAGTGAAGAGTAAAGGAGACATTCACTGCTTCCCAGGGCGTTATTGCATTTCTGTCCTTGAGGAGTGTTATTAAATTTCTGTCGTACTTTCATCTTTCCTGACTTAAGTAATCTGAGCTTTTTGCTCCATACAAATATTTTTGATCAATGCCATGTTTTTGTAGCAGGTACGCTGTGAACTGTTACCCTGTCCTTTTAAACTTTTTGATACTGAGACACACATAATACAGTATTTTATTGATTCAGTGAATCACATGATTTTCAGGTTGTAACATTTCTGAATCCATGGTCTGCTTTTCAAATCAATGGCATTTTACAATTGCTTTCAGCCAGGTGACCTGGTTGTCATTGCCTTAACCAATTTATTTCACTTTTATATTTCTTTTTATAAATGCCTGAGAGTGATTTATTATATAAAAAAAAAAAGCCCTATGTCTGGATAAATCTAAAAGAGCTCTTTCAATAAAGAGAAAGTAAAATTTCTGAGCAAGAAGCAGCCGAGTCATAATTTAATTGGCAACATTTTTCTCCCTTAGTACTTAATGAAATAATGGTGCACTTAGAACTGATGGGTCCTGGGGTCAAGGTGTGTCCTTTAGGGCAGTGTGGCTGCTGGCTGCCGCGAGCGAGGCTGCTCCCCGGTGGGGCCCTGGGCTGATGGCCGCTCCTCCTGCTCCTGCCTGCTCCATCCGTCAGTGGAGCCGCTGCCTGCCGCCCGCCTGCTCAGGGCGCTGCTGCGCCCTTAGTCACGCCGTTTCTCTCAGCCGTGGCTGCTTGTGTGTGAGGCACTCACGGGCCGCTGGAAGGCACCAGAACTTTTCTTCTTCCCTGGAGTTCTTCCCGTGTACTTTTATCATCAGTGCATCTTCTCCTAGTTTCTTTCATTGAGAAGTGCAGCTCCAAGGGAAAGTAACTTTTTTGTTGTGGGGGGGCAGGAAAAGCAGTATTGAACTCCATGTGCTCGGGGCACAGGGCCTCCCGGTGTGGATGGTGGCTGTCACTGCAGGGCACCAGGAGTGAGCTCGGCCCAGGTGGGAGCCGTTGTGTGGCACAGGGCCGGGGAGGGTGCGTGGCTCTGTAGAGTGGGAGGAGGGCAGCCTTCCAGCCAGGCCCTGGATCAGGACCCAGGGGCAGGAGAAGCTGCTTTGGGGGGGGGGCGTAGGCTCAGAGGGCAGCAGGGGCTGGTACGGATGTGCAGTGTCCAGCCATCAGCAGGGCGCCTCAGGGTGAGCCTGATACTAATCATGTTTTGGGGCTTTGCAAGTAGTTTATTCCTTTCAAATCCAGGTATTGCCTGTGCTTGAGAAGTCTCCCGAGCCCCTGTGTTTCGGGAGGTAAATGCACCCAGGAGGTCGACCAAGCAGCCGTACGGGAGCATGTGGGGCTCAGCTCCACGTTCAGCCACAAGCCAGAATGCATTAGGCCAGGCCCCTCCCCAAGAACCTCTCTTCCACTGAGGGCGACAGCGCAGATAGCGGTCCACCAAGCAAGGGAGACAGCAGGCAGCCTTCCTGGAGCAGGGCCTGCTGCCCCAGCTGCCTGCCCGCCTCCGAGTCTGTCCAGCCCCGGGCAGCTCAGGCTCTGTGCTGCAGAAGCAGGGGCCTGGGTGGTGGGTCTGCACTTGCCAAGGGGGCGGGGGCCCAAGGAGTGGGTCTGTGTGACAGGTGAGGCTCGGAGGAGGCAGGCTCTGAGGAGGGCAGAGTCGCCAGGTGAGCACTCCTGACCAAGTTCTTTTCCTGTTTTGTCTCTTCCAAAGCCTAGAAGTTGTTCTAAAATGTGCCTGTAAAGTGAATTGGGATGCATCAGCCTTTGAATGCTACTATAACTCATTTTATGTCAGTGATTCATGTTTTGCCTACTTCAGTAAATCATTTTAATGCCAAGAAATACAGGCAGGCTCTATTTTATTGGAAAAATATCTTTATTCTTGGCAGATTTTCCAATATGTGCCAAAATATCACTGTCATGATATTTTATATGTCTGTCCCAAAACACACAATTGAAGAGCAATTTTGGTGGCAAAAGTTAACAATAAAAATGTGATTAGCAGTACGTTGCTTTGACAATTATATTGTTGCATTAGTTCTCTGGGATAGCAGCTGAAGCAGGCTTTCATAAATCTTTCGAGTCAGTTGGATCTTTAGAAAAGGCTTTCTTTATGGACCCTTGGCGCCTGGAGGATTTAATCACTGGGGCTGTAAGGTGACAGACTGCAGCCGCGCGGTGTTGCAGGGCAGCTGCCCCCGGGTGCTCCTCAGGTGCAGGGTCACTTTGCTGTGCTCCAGTTGCAGCCCTGCTCCTGTGAACAGGTTCCCCGAGCGTGTCGGCAGCTCCCCCCACCCCACTCCGAGACTGTGCTTGCTGGTCCGCCGAGCTGTCGGCCAGACGCTACTGTGCACATGCACACACACTTTTCTAAAAATAGAAAGATTACAGTTTTAAAATTTATGTAGAGAATAGCTGTTGGATGCAGGGAATAAATCTCCGCAGTCTATACTTGTATACCACTCAGGGCCGCTACAGCTGCAGAAGGGAGCTGTGTGACAAATTCCCATCTATACAAAAGATGACGTTACACACAGCTAACACACTGCTGTTCCAGTACGTAGTTCAATTGTTTGTTTCTGTTAGGATGAAAGTGGATTTATGTCCAGCCCGTCTTGGGAGTCTGTGTCACAAGCCTGGAAAATCTCTTCCTAGGCTGGGACGTAATCTCTGGGTGCCTGTCAAATGAATGGTCACGTGACCCCTAAACAAATGACTTTGTTCTGACCGGTGACAGGTTAGCTGGATAAATGGACTGAACTAAAGAACATAAACTATCTTAGTAAACTTCGCCTAAAGCATTACCAGCCCAATTAGTTGAAAGATGATAGCTTTGTTAGGATACAAAATGCCTCTAG